TGAAGACACACAAGAACAACAAAAAAGTCTGCAATTGTTTCATAGGAACTACATGGGAATAGGAGCCAGCATGGTGTGGTGGTTTGAGTGTTGGATTACCACTATGGAGACCTGGGTTTGATTCCCCACTCTGCCATGAAACCCACTGGGTGAACTTGGACAAGTCACACACTCTCAGCCTCAGGGGAAGGCAATGGCAAACCTCCTCTGAACCAGTCTTGCCAAGAAAACCCCAAGAGAGGATCGCTTTAGGTTCCTCTTGTCCTCCTCCTCTCCCAAGGCTTCCTGCCGCCCCCTCCTCTGTCCTCCTTGTCCTCTTCTTCTGCCAAGGCTTCCTGCCGCCCCCACCTCTGTCCTCCTCCTCCCCCCCTCCTCCTCCTTATACCCGGCATATAAGATGACCCCCGTCTTTAACCCAGATTTTCCTGGGTTAAAAAGTTGTCTTATACGCTGGAAAATACGGTAAATGATTTTGGTAATCAAATAATGGATGCTTATTCAGGATGGATTTCAATTACTTTTACTTATAGAATAAGCCAACATATTCACACACACACACATGCACACTTCAGGAAATCAACCTGATTTAATGCTTCATTGTGCCAGAATATATTATCCTACGGTGTGCAGGAAGGAGTCTTTTCCTTCCCCCCTTTTTGTTTTGTTTTTCTCTTCACTTCACTTAATAGATGTTTGTACATGAATAATACAAATGTTATTATCAACTCATATAAATGTCTTAAATAGCCTATATGAACATCACAGAATTAAGACAATATTAACTATGATTAATCCAGATATCTGTTTTCAAGACGTACATCTTAAATTAAAATAGTCAAAGTATTGGAGATCAATCTTTAAAGCAATTATATATCCCACCAAAACAAAAGGATTCATAATTATATGTAAGAATACTTTATCATCCTCCATAAATCAATATTTAATACCCAAGATAATACATTTTTTTAAAGGAGAATTAGGATATCTTAAAATAACATCAGGGGTTAGGGTTAGGGTTAGGGTTAATGAAAAATAATGAGAAACATGAAATTTTCTTGGAGTTTCTCTTCTTCTTTGGTTGAAAATGATTATCTTAGCTGAAGATTTCAGTGCCATATTTGATCCTGCTTTGAATATATCTATTATATGAAATATAGAGTATAATAGTAAATATATGGAGATTATGGCACTAGCTGACTGCACCTAACAGGATGCAGCTGGGAGGCAGGATACAGGCAGGAATTGTCGCACTTAATTCGCCACCAATTCCACCGACTGAGTATTATTATAATTAAAGTTTATTTCTAAAGCGCTATCAATGTACACAGAGCTGTACAAAGAGATAATCAAGCATAAAATAGAATAAAAACCTGCCAAAGGCGTACAATCTAAAATACAAACAATAGGTAAAATAATAAAAGTCAATTAAAGCAAAAAACAATTACAACAATTAATTAACAACATCTACTGTCTACCCAAATGACAGAAAAAGTAAATGTATATCAGACAGTGCCAGGGAATGCCTCCCTGAACAAGGTGGTCTTTAATTCGGATTTAAAAGTGGACAAAGAAGTAATGCCCCGTGTTTGAGGGGTAAGAAGGTTCCAGGAGTGAGGGGCGGCAAGCGAGAAGGGGCGAATCCGGGATGGAGCAGTGGAGATCCTAGGTTGGGACAGCAGGCCTTGAGTACAAGAACGGAGTGTATGGATGGGAATGTAAGGAGAAAGAAGCTCAGATAGGTGAAGAGGGGCTAGCCCATGCAGGGCTTTGAAAGTTAGCAACCGAAGCTTATATTGGATATGGAAGGGGAAGGGGAGCCAGTGAAGAGAACTTAGCAAAGGGGAAACATGGTCAAAACAGCGAGCAGAAGTATGATGCAAGTGGCTAAATGTTGGACAGAAATTAAAGGGCGAAGATGAGAGAGGGGAAGCCCAGCTAGAAGGAGATTACAGTAGTCTAATCGGGAGACCACCAAAGCATGGACCAGAGTCTTGGCAGTGGAGGCCAAAAGAAAAGGACGGATTTTGGCAATGTTATAAAGCTCGGCTGCAGTCCAGGTGCCAGGAACACTCAGCAAGCCACTTTTCAAAATCAGAAAGCTTCCAACTTTGAAAAGAGGCTTGCTGAGGTGCTCCTGGGACCCGGACTGCAGTCGACCTGCACTCGGCCGGCAGAATCAGCAGCGAATTACATGCGATAATTCCTGCCTGTATCCCACCTCCTGGCTGCACCCTATTTTAGGACACAGTCAGCTTAAATGTTAGTGCGATAATCTCCTATTTCAAACTTGGTGGCAAAGGTGATGACTTTTCTTATGTATGCAGATACAGATATCTGACCCAGAAATATGTTGCTCATGTTGTTGTGTGCCTCCATGTCATTTCTGACTTATAGCAATCCTAAGGTTTTTCTTGGCACAGTTTCTTTGGGGGGTGGGGAGAGGAATTGCTTTCCTCTGAGGCTGAGAGAGCATGATTTGCCCAAGGTTGCACAATGGGTTTGCAGTGTCCTAGTCAAAAGATCAAACCACTACACCACACTGGTTCTCATTATTCTCCTCAGGCACAAATTTGTTTTCGTGAACAGCTTATATTTTTATTTCACTATACTTGATCAGGAGAGCCAGTGTGGCGTAGTGGTTTGAGTGTAGGACTATAACCCTGGAGACCAGGGTTTGATTCCCAGCTCAGCCATGAAACCCACTGGGTTGCCTTGGGCAAGTCACACATTCTCAGTCTTAGGGGAAGGCAATGACAAATCTCCTCTGAACAAATCTTTCCTGGAAAACCCCATGATAGGTTTATCTTAGGATCGCCATCTAGGTTTATCTTAGGATCAGAAACAACTTGAAGGCATACACTACTACCACACAGAAGTGTGATTAGTGATCAAAACTGAACCTAGGCTCAATGCAGATCCTGGTTGCCTACAGGGCTGGCCAAAACATTCCTGCTATTGGAGGCAATAATAAAAGAACTGCCCCCATCACCCCCTACATCTCTTGCACATGTAGAATAAATGAATCTTAGAGCTGGCAAGGATGAGAAGGGCCATCTAATCTAAGTCCCTGCCATGCAAGCAATACACAACTAAAGTACTCATAGAAGATGACCAACTTCAGTTTAAAGACCTCCAAAGAATGAGAGTCTGCTACCCTCTGAGGCAGTCCATTCCACTGTCAAACAGCTCTTACATTAAATAAGTTCTTCCTAATGTTTAGGTAGAATATCTTTTCTTGTAATTTGAATCCATTTGTTCATGTTATAATGAAAACAAGCATGCTCCAGCTTCTACATGACATCACTTCAAATATTTAAATATGGTCATTATGTCACCTCTCAGTTTTCTTTTTTCTAGTGTAAACATACTCATTCCCTAAGTCATTCCTCATAAGCTTTGGTTTCCAGACCTTTGGTCATCTTGGGGCTGAAACAGACAGTGTTGCATGCTCTAATGATGCCTGGAAGCTGCCCAGAAGCCAGGCAGCTGCCCACACATCGGTGGCTTCAAGATGCTCCAACAGAGCAGCATTTACACGCTGCAGGCTGCCGGAGCATCTTGAAGCCACCCTAGGGCTGTGGTGGGGCTCTTTCCTGGCCCAAATAGGAACAGATCTTTTCCGCTCCTATTTGGGCTGGGTTCAAGGTGGATTGGGCCATGGCATGTGTTTGCTGTGGCCCCAATCCATCTTCAGAGGATGTGGTTTAAAGCCGCCCCTTCTTGCCTGTCTGTTCTGGCCCTTGGTTTAGACACATTTCAATTTGTCAATATCCTTCTTGAACCATGATGCAGAAAACTGGACATAATATTCCAGGTGAGGTCTGACCAAGACAGAATGGAGTCACACTATTTCCTCCTTCGATCTGGACATTATACTCCTGTTGATGCAGCCTGGAATTACACTTTTTTTGTAATCACTTCTCGGCCTTTTGGCTAAGATCAAGTGTAGTTTGATGTACTGTTGTCAAGCCGTGTTTTACCTATATTTGTACGTGTCAGTTTTTGTGAGTACATATAGTTTGTTGTTGTGGTGTGCCTCCAAGTAGTTTCCAACTTATGGAGACCTTAAGGTGAACCTATCATGTGATTTTCATGGCAAGATTTGTTCAGAGGAGGTTTGCCACTGTCTTCCCCTGCGGCTGAGAGTGTGTGACTTGCCCAAGGTCACCCAGTGAGTTTCCACGGCTGAACAGGGATTCAAACACTGATCCCCAGAGTTATAGTAGATGTAGTACCTCACATTTCTTCTTCCTGTTGAAATTCATTTTGGCCCAGATCTTCATTCTGACAAGGTTGTTTTGAATACTGTTTCCTTCTAGGGTATCAGCTATTACCCTAATCTGGTGTCATCTACAAATGTAACTAACATGCCTTTTATTCCATCATCTAAATAATTTATAACCATGTCAAACAATACTGGGCCCAGGACAGAATTCTGAGGCATCCCACTAGCCATGTCTCTCCAGGACAAAGAACAATAATTGGTGAATACTGTCTGGATTTAGTTTATGAACCAATTATAGATCTACCTAACTGTAGCACTGTCTAGCCCACAGTTTACCAACTTGCCTGCAAGAATATCATGGTGGGTCTTGTCAAAAGCCTTAATGGAAAAAAGCTATACTACATCCACAGCATTCCCCTGATCTACCAAGCTCATCAATCTACTTTTAAAAAAGAGATAAGATTAGTTTGGCATGATTAGTAATTATTAGCAAATTAGTAATGGGC